AGGTCTCCGAAGCAGGTTTCCTACTGTTGACCCTTTATGGGGGAGGTTTCGAAGCAGTTGACCAATATTGACCAAGTCTGATAAAAATATTACAACGTGCCAAATTTGGACTATATCGACTACTTCCTATAATTTATAAGAGATATGTGCACATTTTGGAAATTGTGACCCTTTGTGGGTGAGGTACCAGAAGGGGTTTGCAGATATATATCATCTTCACATCAGATCTTGCCTTAGCAAAAATATTTGGATGTTTGAAATTTAAAGAAAATTGGATGCTTATCTCGCTTTCTTTGAGCGTTTTGTTTTTCCAAAAAAAATTGAACCCTGTGTGGGGCAGGTCCCAAAAGAAATGACCCGATCTGTACGATCTTTATTACAGATTTTGTGTTTATGGAAATATTTAGATGTACCAAGTCTGAATCGAATCGGATGTTAATATCGTCTTTTTTTTTTTTTTTTGAAAAAATCTTGACCCTTTGTGGGGGAGGTACCAGAAGGAATATATCCATATATTCCATCTTCACCCCAGCCCTTGGATTAATAAAAATATTGTGATGTGTATAATTTGAAGACAATCGGACTCTTATATCATATTTTATAAGAATTACAATTATTCAAAATTTGGACCCTTTGTGGGAGAGGTACTGGATGGATTGTACCGATATTATCCATTTTCGCACCTGCCGTAGCACTAATGCAAATATTAGGATTTGCAAAGTTGGAACAAAATCGGATTATTCTTTCTCTTTCTGTGCTGAAAATTATTTTCTTTGAAAATTTTGACATTTTGTGGGGGGAGGTAGCAGAAGAAGTGGATCGCTATTGCTCATCTCCGAACTCGATCTAAGTTTGACAAAAATATAACGATATAATAAGTTTGGACCAAATCGAAAACTCCCTTAGAGATTTATCATGCACACCAGCCAGACAGACGGACGAACGGACATCGCTAGATCGACTCCAAATATCCTGAAACGGATTTGGCCCAAAGAGACCTAGGGTCTAAAACCGTTATTTCGATGAGACACGTTTTGCCCGTATCAAATGATATATACCCTCTCTAGCCATATGGCTGATGTAAATGTAAAAATTATGGCGTTTGACTTTGTTGCAGTTTTTTTTATCTCACCCGTGCATATGACTCTAACATCATATGTAATCGGACTTTTAGACGTTTTCTGGAACCGGAATTTTGAAATTAAAGCTAATTTGCTTCACCTATTGATGAAATTTATAAGTATTTTAAACCAGGAAATTATTTTATATTGGAGGGTGAAATAACAATTTGAAGCTGATTCGGATTAATACTGGGGTTCAAACGTCAAAAATTTCGAAAATTGGGAGGTAAATTTATCAGCGTCTTATACCTAAAGGTAGGGCCATATAATCTATTTCCATATCGGACAAATGTCAAAAAACAGTCGATTTTTTTTTAAATCGCCTTTAATTTTTTTTCCGTCCAGAATACAAAATATGTGAAATGAGGTTCCCGACAAGTACTTTTAGGTAGAAGTAGTTTAAGTAGAAATTACGAACTTTTTTACTCTTTAATGTGAATATACCATAAAGAAGACGCAGTGCAAAAATCTTTGAAAAGACTTGCTGGCCGCAAATTGTAGATATTTCAATGACTTTCCGGCAAAAAAATCAAGAATTTCTGAATCAAGAAACGTATTCAAAATAGATGAAAAAATGTTACATTTTTAATATATTAAATGTATCGTTCGTCTTGTAATTCATAGTAAAATTCATTTAAGACCATACATGTAGGTCTGTGGTAATCACTCTCACTTTTGAAGGGATCGATTTCGATGGCTAGAATATGTCGGAAAATTTTTATGGAATTGAAATTGTCCATATTGGGGTTAGCCAAATTTTCATGTAATTGTTTCATATGTTAGTTTTTGGCTATTTGGTAGTAGCAGAAGCAGAAAATTATCAAAGGTTGCGAATTAGACCCCAAAAAACGCTTCCGCCCACTTTATTTTTTTTTTTGACTGGCTTTAACCACATTTTTGTCCAACCAATTCCACTGGCAATAGGAGTTACAGATGGAACTCGCTCGAATATTAAATCCCTATATTTTTATTATCAAAAGATTGATTCACTTCATGGTGGAGGATATAAAAAGTTCGGTCTTTTTAATTGTTGAAACATTTTTCAAGGACCTCAGATTAACAGAGAACATTTTTAAAAGGTCTCCCTGCAAAAAACATTTCTAATTTCTAAGAATTGTTATTTTTTCGAACAAAAATTGCTGATGTTTGAAAATTCATTCAAGGATTTGAGGCCACAAAGTTGGCAATTTTTTTTTTCTTAATAATAATTATACCCTACACCACAAGGTGGTCAGGGTATTATGTTTTTGTGCATTTGTTTGTAACAGGCAAAAGGAAACGAGATAGACCCATAGTTATTTTTGATGATCTGCATAGAATCACATTCTGAGTCGATTTATGCATGTCCGTCCGTCCGTCTATCCGTCCGTCCGTCTGTTCATGTATTTTTGTAAAAAAAAGTACAGTTCACATTTATTGCCCGATCCAGATGAAATTTTGCACAAATCATTTGTTTGGCCCAAGGACGAACCCTATTGAAATTGGAGGTAATCGGTCAAAATTTAGATATAGCTCCCACATATAAGTATCTTCGTCCGATTTGCCTTTTATTGTGCACCAAACGTGTAATATCAGCCCGAATAGTATGGAATTTTGCACATACAACCAAATTAGGCCTGAAAATAAGTATGCCAAATTTGATTGAAATCGGTTCAGATATAGCTGTAGCTCCCATATATATTGTTCATCCGATTTGTTATTTTTGTCCCCCGCAACCGTAATATGCACTCTGTAAAAACAATATTTGGGGAAATATATCAAATACAGCTCAGAAATATCTTTGCCAAATTTTATCGAGATCGGTTCAGATTTGGATATAGCTCCCATATATAACTTCGTCCGACTTAAATTTTATTGTACACCAAACGTCTAATATTTGCCCAAATGGGATGGAATTCGGCACTTACGACCGAATTGAGTCTAGAAGCTAGTATGTCAAATTTGGTGAAGATCGGTTCAGATATAGCTATAGCTCCCATATATATTGTTCATCCGATTTGTTATATTTGTTACCCACAGCCGTAATATGCACTCCGTAACAACGATATTCAGGAAAATATATCAAATACAGCTCAGAAATATATTTGCCAAAGTTTAACGAGATCGGTTCAGATTTGGATATAGCTCCCATATATATCATTATCCAATTCAAATTAATTGTGCACCAAATGGGCAATACAAGTCCGAATTAAAAAGATACAAATGCTTCAGCATATTTAGTCTTTTGAACTTTAAATTATAATTATAACCATAGCGTGTATGATTGAATTCTTCCATAAAAAAACTTTCAATTGTTATGCGGAGCTCTACTAAATTAGCAAAGTGGTGTAGAGTATCATAAAGTCGACCCCGCCCGACTTTAAGACTTTCTTTACTGTTTTTTTTTTTTTCTGGTAAACATCGTGAAATTGTTAATAACTGCCATACATTCTATCGCACCGAACAGTAGGCTACGAGTTGATATCAGTTAGCATACTAGCTGATATTTTTAAACTTGATCAGGGTTTTTAAATTTAGTAAGGACAAATTGTAAAGTAATTATGCTGAACACTTATATGTAAAATAGCTGCTTACCTTATTTTTGTTGTTCTTGTTTTAATCCGTGTAAGCAGCAATTAATGATTTGTTGTGATTTTAATTTTCTCGTAATTCCTCCAAAAGATTGCCTTGGCGTCGGCAAACACCAATTTCTATTAAATCAATTTTTAGTTATTTAAGGTTTCGTTGCTGTTGTTGTTTTTATTTACCTTCGCTTTGTCTCAATTCTCACACACACTTTCACTTGGAAGCGGATATGCCGATAATTTGTCAACACAATCGACCACAAAGTCGGCACAGACACTCTCACTCACACACACAAACACCGCCGCACAAAACAATAACGGAAGGAGTCCAAAGGACAGGAAACTCAAAGGTTTGTTTTGCCCTTTAAAGTATGCAACTATTTTTGTACGATTCGGGGTCCTGTAGACGCGTCGTCAACACACCGACACAAAGAAACACACACACACACAGCGTAAGATTTGCGAATAGTTTCACGGGAAACTCCTGGAGAACAGGTGGATGGTGAATTTGGGCAAAAGAAGTTTGGTTGGTTGGTTGACGTTGGCAGACGTTAGTTTGTTTGTGTTTTTTTTCGGGGCGAAAAACTCTCCAATGAAAACGAAACCGTAACAAAATTTCAATAATTTCCGTTTGAATGGTGCTGTCCGTTTGTTCGTTTCACTGGCAAAACCGGAGTATAGGAAATAGCCGTCCTCGTCGACGACGTCTATTGTCGTCGAGCTTTTAATAATAATAATAATGATTATGATGTTGCGCCTGAAGGTATGCTTCAATTTCTGTGTATCTCCTCTGCCAATAGAAAAACACTGTTCACAGTTCACTCACTAAATTTCAAATCATGTATTCCCGAACTTCAGCTTCGTAGAAGTACTTTTTATGATTCTTTTTTTTTTTGGTAAAAAAAAATTATGCCGAATGGCCACACACTGTGAGCTGTCCTGGGCCAAGAAAAGGAAACACTGACAAGAAGCAACAAGCTCTCTGGTGGCCAACTTTTTCGTATTGCGGTAACTAATGTGTGGTGCAAACGTTGTCCCAACTCTTGGCTGTCTGATGGGATATGACCACTTGGTGCCAGACAATATCAAGTTCCGATACTATATGTCACAAATGCTCGCACACACACACACTCACAGAGATTTGTGTGAAGGATGTGTGGACTTTTTTATAGTTATTTTTTGTTGTTGTTTTTTCTTGATTTTTTGATGTTTTAGTGAAGGTGCGCTCTTCACGTTGTTTTTGCATCCAGTCGCTTAAAGGTTTAAATTTTGATTAAACATGTCCTGGAGCTCAAATGTCCTGCTGCTCTACTACCATTTGCTTTTTTTGTTGTTGATGTTGTTGTTGTCGTTGAGAGCTCCAAACAAAGCCTTTAACAATACCATGACAAACTGTGTGTGGGTGGGTGAATGGCTTTTCTTCTTGGAAATATTCTCGCCAGGAAGGTTGTTGGCTGTTTTTCTTGTTGCTATCTTTGTTGTTGTGCCAGACGTTAACACTGGATGTGCCTGGGTTGTGAGGGCCCAGAATTGTGGTGGATGATGAAATTTGTTGCTATTGCTGTTCCGAGCACCAGAACTGTGTCTCAGGCTAACCTTAACCACAAAGTATTGGACAACAATAACAACAACAACAAAATGGCTGTTTATCATATTCCCAGCTATATTGGGACCATGGCGCTGCTTCACACCACTGGCATATGAGCGTGGCTGGCGTTGGATCATCCATCCATTTCGCTTTTAAGATGGCGTCGTTACGTTGCGGTTCGATAATAATTTACTCCTCCCACCGAGAACAACAAGTAGCGTGGCGTATAGACATTTAATACGCCTGGCTGTTCTATGAGCCAGCCAACATAACATCACACAAGATCTGTATCTCAGACGCATACGTTGCCATATACGATTCCATGGCATAGGCACACATACAAACAAACAAACAAACACCACCATTGCTAAGGCAAAGATACTTGCAGGGATTCCCAGTGTATGTGTGATTGCGTGTGTATGTCTTTGTGTCTCCATAACTGTTGTTGCTATTAATCCTTCGCAAGGATGCCTCAGTATTGTCACACTCTTCTTACATTTTTGGTATGACAAGCGTCTGCGCAAAAACAAACCCTCCGCCTGTACACAGCACATCATCGGCTCATCGGTAGGCGGAGTTACGCACATCCTGTGTGTGTGTGTCGTCTATCTCTGCAACGATGCTCCTCCATTTCAATTTATATCTTAAATTTCAAAATACAACATTTCTTATCTACGATTTTCACACTTTAAAGTCGGCCAGCAACGAATATCATCAGGACAAGCCAAAAAGTGACCAACATTTTGAAAGGAGTCTCTGTGTATAACTCATGGCCAGTGTGTCCATTCTGAAAGCAGAAAAAAAAAATAAAAGATAAAAACATGAAATCAGAACAAAAGTAAATAAGTAAACAAAAGGGTGAAGAAAGAAAAAAAAAAAAACTTTTCAATATTCTTAAAGTTTTCTTGTTCGGCGATATGGGAAAAAACTTTTGCTGATATATTGGCCAACCTACGGCTATTTATTGTTGTAGTTGTTGTTGATAAAAGATGAGTGTTAAGATTTCCATTTTTTCGAAGTAAGCCAATAAACTGTTAATGGACAACGAGTTTCAAGGGTTGCTATATATATTTCAGACCTAGGAACAGGAGAGGCAGTAGATAGGAAATATATCAAGAAGCACTCTTTAAAGTCATTCTATAGGATCTACAGAGCTCAGATGTTGCCTTTCTATAAGATAGGAACGTCTTTAAACAAATTCTGTAGATTGAAGGTCTTCTATAAACAGAAGGCCTGCTAAAATTCTTCTAAAAACAGTTTAAAAAGTTTCAGGCGGTTTTGCCGACAGATGTGTACCCTCAGCCAATATTCGATTATTTAAATATATTTTGGCTTTTGTTAAAATTATTAAAATTGTTGACCCTCTATGGAGTATCGGACCTAAATAAATATGATATAAATATAGTGACATGCCAGGTTTGGACTATATAGAACACTGTCTTCACTTTATTTGAGATATGTGATAATTTTTAGAAAATTTTAAAATGTGCATGAGGTACCAGATATAGTCGACCGAAGTATTCCATTTTCATACTTCATCTAATACCGATAAAAATATTGGCATAATCACACGAAAATCGAACATTTATATCCAATTTATGGGAAATCTTAAATTCCATATTCATCTCAGGATTCTGGTTGAGAGACATATATTTAGTATAGCATGTTGTAAAGAATCGCTGAGTTATTTCGCAATTTATGACAGATTAAAGTATTGAAAATTGTGTCCCTTTGTGGGTGATGTACCAGAAGGGGTCCGTAGATATATAGCATCTTCACAACAGATCTTGTGTTAGCAAAAATAATTGGGTATGTGAAATTTGAAGAGAGTTGGATGCTTATTTCGCTTTCTTTGAGCGTTTTGTTTTTCATAATCTTGAACCCTATGTGGAGCAGGTAGCTAAAGAAATGGTCCGATCTCTACCATCTTTATAACAGATCTTGTGTTGATGGAAATATTGAGATGTACCATGCCTGGAATAGAATCGGAGTTGCTATCGCTTTTTATGAGCTTCATGGATATTCAAAATTTGGAGGAGGTACCAGAAGGAGTGGACCGCCGATATTGCATCAGATATAGCTCTGACGCAAATATTAGGATTTGCAAAGTTGGATCAAAATCGGATATCGTTTCTCTTTCTGTGCAAAAAATATATTTTTTGAAAATTTCAACCATTTGTGGGGCAGGTACCAGAAGGAGTGAACCGATATATTCCATCTTAAGACCAGGCCCCGGTTTTTTTAAATATTGGGATGTGTGAAATTTGAAGACAATCGGACTTTAACAACACATTTTATGAGAGTATTAAATTTTCAAAATGTTGACCATTTCTGGGGGAGGTACATGATGGAATGGACCGATATTGTCCATTTTCACACCTGACCTAGAACTGACGCAAATATTAGGATTATTTGCTTCCCTTTCTCTGCATAAAAAATATATATATTTTTTTGAAAATTTTGATCTTTTGTTGGGGAGGTACCAGAAGGAGTGGACCAATATATTCCATTTTAACAGACATTGGGTTAATGCAAATATTGGGATGTGTGAAGTTTTAAGAAAATCGAACTCTTACATCACATTTTAAGAGAGCAATTGAAAATTGAGACAAAAACTTTACGGTAACTAACACCACTATGAAAACCATTAAATGGACCCATGGGTCTATCTCGTTTCATTTTGCATATGACAACCAAATACATAAAGACATTATACCCAGTATTTTAACCCTGCTCTATAGATGAAAGAAGTCTTTAACGAAATCTAATCTATGTTAAAAAAATGGGTTTATGTCGATCCACTTTCTGAACCTTAATTCCAAGTATGTTTTTAGCTTTTGTCATATTCACCTTTGAACATCGCCATTTTTATATTTTGAATTTTTATTGTTGCAAAATAGATGTCTTGTCTGTGTTCCGTACTCGGTATATCAATCGCCTCTATCTTCTGTTTATTTTGGCATATTCTACAAAAGTTAAGGTCACAGGGATCCCATTTGGAGTGGAGAAAGGAATGGGTTCTTTGTCACTACAAGGACTTCTTGAAGCAGCCTCAACTCAATAGCTAATCGGTAATCTGAGAGTATCATCGGTTAGTATATCAATCGTCTGTGCAGCAACATGAGCTAACATTTTGGTAAAAAAAATCATTTTTGTGTGTTGCCTGACAACACCGTTTGCTATCCAATACTTATTCAATACGTGCAGCTTAAGTAGTCCCTAGGGTAGAATTTAAGGCATTGTCTTTGAACAAGTCGAAGGTTGTTTTTTACGAGGTTAAAGTAATTTCTTTGGCCAATATAAGGTCTCTTGGACGAACAGAAGGAAGTATTTATAAACAAACTGAAAGGAGTCTCTATAGACAAACTGAAGGGAGTATCTGAGGACGAAGATTAAGAAATTATCTTTAAACGGGGAATGAAGTCTCTACAGATGACCTAGATAGATATCTAAAGATGATCTAAAGGAAGTCTCTATAGACGAGCTGAAAGCAGTCTCTATAGACGAGCTGAAGGCAGTCTCTATAGACGAGCTGAAGGCAGTCTCTATAGACGAGCTGAAGGCAGTCTCTATAGACGAGCTGAAGGCAGTCTCTATAGACGAGCTGAAGGCAGTCTCTATAGACGAGCTGAAGGCAGTCTCTATAGACGGGCTGAAGGCAGTCTCTATAGACGAGCTGAAGGCAGTCTCTATAGACGAGCTGAAGGCAGTCTCTATAGACGAGCTGGAGGCAGTCTCTATAGACGAGCTGAAGGCAGTCTCTATAGACGGGCTGAAGGCAGTCTCTATAGACGAGCTGAAGGCAGTCTCTATAGACGAGCTAAAGGCAGTCTCTATAGACGAGCCGAAGGCAGTCTCTATTGACGAGCCGAAGGCAGTCTCTATAGACGAGCTGAAGCCGGTCTCTATAGACGAGCTGAAGCCGGTCTCTATAGACGAGCTGAAGCCGGTCTCTATAGACGAGCTGAAGCCGGTCTCTATACACGAGCTGAAGCCGGTCTCTGTAGACGAGCTTAAGCCAGTCTCCTAATTAAGGTAATCTATATAGACGAATGAAAGATTAGACCAGCCAAAAAAGGTCTCTACAGACGATCTAAAGGGAGTCTCTATAGATGACCTAGAAGGATTCCTAAAGTTGACCTAAAAGAAGTCTCTATAGACGTATCGAAAGACGAGCAGTAGGGAGTCTCTACAGACGATTTGAATATTAAAATTATTACAAATGAAATTGTTATAAATCATACCACTACAGACCCCAGGTGATTATTTAAGTGAATCATTTCACTTCAGGAGATAATCAGTTATCATGTCATCATTCAGATACATTTTCATTTCATTTCTACTCATCTACTCTACTCATCAAATGTTAAAGACGTTTCTAGTGGGCACTAAACATTTACTCTAATAAAACCAATTATTTTTACCTAACCTCAAATCCAAAAAAAATCTTTCTCACAAATGTCAACGCCCAGAATATAGTGAATTAATTAAATAATTCGTAATTTGTTAACATATCTACTATGGCTTTGAGTAGTTTTTATAATAATTGGGCTATCCATTTTCATTAGGGCATATGATAATGGAAATTGTGGGGGGAGAAGTTTGGGAAAAATAAATATAACAATGGTTATCTTTGAGAATTTCATTGACAAATACTAATAATTATGTAAACAAATATTGAGGCCAACTAACAACAACTATGGGAAGGGGAACAAAAACTACATTTACCTTCATTTAAATTAATTTCATAACTTGATTGTAATTGAAATTGGTTTTTACTTTGCTTCATTATCTCTTCATATGGATGATTAATTGACTTGATTTTCTTGATTCCTCTAACCCCTATTGTTCGCAATTGAATTTCAAAATGTCTCCTTGGATTCTTGCCCTTGTCCTGAAAAAACAGTTTTAACACTTAGTTTTTGTTTTATTAGATAGCATACAAAAATACATGATTGTTGTTTTTTTAACTATTTTCAATTAATAAAATACATCTTAAAACACGCACAGAAAACGTTTTAACATTTCTTCTTCTTTTTAAAAAGTAATTGCATAGTACCCTAATGAAAAAAAAATATTATGAAAAAAATGTGCGTAGCAATACCATATTTAAGGGCCATAATCAAATTGTTCCATTCACGAAGGAAGAAAACAATTCAAGAATTGTATATTAGCCTGGAAATATCATTGGAATTGGAATCTTGCAGTTCCGAAGAAAAACTTGAAGTTGTTGTTGTTGTTGCAATATATAGAATGTTGATGGCAATGATGACAACGTTTTATGTTCACAGTGGCATAGAAGTCTTTTGAGTTGAATGAATGAAGTATTTAATCAGTTGCACAGCGATTTTTGTTTTTTTTCTCTTCTCTAATTTAAATGCGACTTCTGGATGAACCATCCTTGACGTTGAATAATTTGCGAACAAAAAATACCTAAAGGAAGTGGGAGAAATTTGCATTATATTTGGAAATTATAGAAGATATTGCATTACGACTTACCTGGACGGAACATGTAATTACGATAACCAAAATTTGACATAAGGAGAAGGTCTGTACATAGCTGTAGTTATCTTGGATTAAGGCATAATCACGGGCTTCACGATTCCTGCTGTGATATTGATAGGCCAACATGTCGTTGATGTTTCTTTCCACCGTACCAATTGTGGTCTGAAAAGAGGTGGAAAATACGGAATTAAAAATATTATTAAAAAATCAAAGAAGTCCTTATAGACGAGCTAAAGACCATTTTAGACGAATTGATCCTTCGAGGAGTCTTTTAAGAGCGAACTGAAGGCCAGGGAGTCACTACAAAGAACTGAAGTCAAGAGAGTCTTTAAAGAGGTGCTGAAGTCCAAAGATTATTTCAAACGAAGTAACAATTCTTTATAGCCTTGGTCGAGGAACGAGCTGAGGGGATTCTCTATAGACGACCTAAAGAGAGTCTCTATAGATGACCTAAAGGAAGTCTCTATAGACGACCCAAAGGGAGTCTCTGTAGACGACCTAAAGGGAGTCTCTGTAGACGACCTAAAGGGAGTCTCTATAGAAGACCTAAAGAGAGTCTCTATAGATGACCTAAAGGAAGTCTCTATAGACGACCCAAAGGGAGTCTCTGTAGACGACCTAAAGGGAGTCTCTGTAGACGACCTAAAGGGAGTCTCTATAGAAGACCTAAAGAGAGTCTCTATAGATGACCTAAAGGAAGTCTCTATAGACGACCAAAAGGAAATCTCTATAGACGACCTAAAGAGAGTCTCTATAGATGACCTAAAGGGAGTCTCTATAGACGACCTAAAGGGAGTCTCTATAGACGACCTTAAGGGAGTTTCTATAAACGACGTGAAGGTAGTCTCTATATGGTAGAAAGGAACGGAGGGAGGGTCTCAAGTCGGTCCTTCCAAAAACTCACTGTGAAATTTTCCATATTCAACTGCAGCGCCTCAATTTCCTTGGCATACTTGTCCCAGGCATCATATTTCACTACCGTAATATAGATGTTCACCAACTTGCCGGCAAAGCGGGAGAATTGATTATCAATGCACACCGAATAATAGCCACCAGGTGAGACTTGATCAGTATAATCTGCCGTCGCTTGCCATTGATAGGGTTTTACAATGGTGCCAGCTGGATTGCGGACGGCAAAACCGGCCATCCCGTCACCACCACGTACCACCTAAAACACACAATATTATTACAAGAAATTACAAACAAAAAATCCAAAATCTTTCCAGCTTACACTAAAAGAAACATAAAAGGTGGCTCCGGGTTGAACATATTGATGGTAGCAGTCTTCTTTTCCGGCATCTATGTGGACCTGTTGCGCGACAAGAACAACGACGTGTTATTATTACATTGCGACATTCACTTTCTATTTGCTTTGACTTTTTTTTGGCGGATATTTACCTTATAGTCCATTGCCACAGCTGGAAGATTTTCATACCATGGCTTAGGCACTTCTTGGGATACAATTTGTGTGGATGCAACATTCAGGAGAATCACAAAAATGCTTAAAAAGGCTCCTATTTGCCACGTCGCCGAGGAATGCATTTTGTTTGGATTTGTGGAGATAAATAATAGCAAACAACAACAACATACGCAGGGATTTCCACTAATCGATATGGATAATAATCGAATAATCGATTTCATCAACCATTGTCCAGTTGCAATGGTGTTGTCAATTTACCAAATGGAAAAAAACGCCAAAATATAAATGTTCGTATCATAATTGCGTTTTGCCCAAAAATGAATATTAAATAATATTTCTAATTAATTTTTTTTTTAATAAGAGGGGTTAACTCTACCATACGTCAAAAAATATATCCCAAAATTTCAACTCGACAGTTAAAGGACAAAATTAAGAAAAATGCATGAAATCTGTATTTAAGTCGATAGTAGGTGCAAAAAATGTAATGCAACATGTAAAATACGTTGAAAAATACCGCTTTTATTTAAAACATTTCGAATGTCAGAACCGTATATGAGGCTGTGCGAAAACGTAGACTTCTGCAACCAATTATCTGCCATATACGAACTCCAAACATAAGGTTTAAGATAATTTGGTTGAAAAATGTAACAAAAATAATCAAAATACCGAATATTGGGAAGTACCGTAATATGGATGCTACACGTATTTTGTATGGATTTGTATGGACAATTTTCTGTCAAAGGTAACAGTGTTCATTGCGAACTCCAAATTCCGAATATTAAATATTTCTGGTGAAACTTGTGGCAAAAATGAAAATTCCGGGTATAGGAGGTAAAATTATATGTGAGCTATACAAAAATGATAACCTCTATAAGCTATTTTCTATAATGAGAGGTAGTTCCCAATACAAACTCCAAATTTGAAAAAAAAAAACGGAAAAAGTGTAACACAAAAATACAGAAGGTACAGTCAAATGGACCTACATTAACCTTGGACCTCTCAATTACCTGCGTGCGTAGGTGATGCCCATTGCGAAGTGCACATACAAAGTTTGAGATAAATCTATTGAAAGATGTGGTTAATATCATAAAAATGCCGAATAATGGGAGGTACGGTTATATATGGGGTCTATACGAAATCGCGGACCTATGTAGCCTGTTCTCTTACAGGGAGTAAGGTGCTCAGAAGGAACTCCTTGTGTAGAATTTCACACAACTCCATTGTAAAATTAGGTTAAACTCATCAAAATACCGAATATCGGGTGGTTCCGTTATATGAGGGCTATACGATATCGTGAACCTATATGGACAATTATCTTCCAGGGGATTAAGTATTCAAACGGAAGTCCCTGTGTGGACTTTCAGACAATTCCATTGACAAATTTTGCTACAATAATCGAAATACCGAATATCGGGAGGTACAGTTATATGGGGGCTATACGAAGGTGTGAACCAAAATATGAAACTTTCTGCTATGTGATACTCATTATGAACCCTAAATACCAATTTTTAACAGTTACGGTGAAAATTGTCACACAAATCGTCAAAATACCGTATATTTGGAGGTAAAGTTATATGGGGTCTATAGCAAACTCGTTTGTAGAGATGCTTCCAACATACTTGGAATACATACTCCCAATTTACAGAAAATTAGGTTTCAAATTTTGACTAAAACAAGCAAAAAATCTGAAATCTGTCGCTACAGTTATATGGGGCCTATGCCAAAACGTGGACTTATATAGCCCATTTTCATTACCAAACGTACTGTAGAGCTAAACACATATGAGTAAAAATATTCCAACTTACTTAATTTCGTTTGGAAGCTAAAGATATTTCACAGACGGTCCAATCTCGCAAAATCGACATTTTTGCTGATCAAGAATATGCATACTTTGTGCTGCCCAAAATGTATACTTCTAGGTGTTACAAAATGGAAATATACCCTAAATACTATGGTGGAGGATATAAAAAGATTTATAAATGTTTTCATTTCAAATTATCCACTTTTTACATTTTAATATACAATTTTATATTTTCTAGTAACACCAATTTCTATGAAAATCGAAAAGAAACTAAGAATACCGTGTTAAGGGATATTTTGAGTTTTTAACCACCATTTTGGCGTTTTTTCCTTTTTTGGGCATTGATATACTGCAATGTTCTTCCACGTACGTTATATTTTATTATTAATACTATAAAGCTATTCACCACTAGATGGCGTTGCTAACGCATGGCCATTGCCTTTTCATCCGTTGAACTTGTTGACATTACTACTTTCAGTTTGATTTAAATTAAAGATTTGTTTATGTGTGGAAGAAACATTTTTTTCAATACTGGATGTTTCTATTTTCATTACTTCATTAATGAAAATAATATGGAAACAGGGATACCATAGAAATAGGGATACCAAGAAGACTGACTCCTTTCCCCTTCATCAATGCCACCTGTTGATCATACCAAACGACCACAAAACAATCAGTTGACAATTAGCAAAGCAGTTTAACATTTTGATGCAGTTTGTGCTGTTGCCGTTTTACGATGAATTAATAAATTAACTTTTTCGGAGTTTTTGAACTTTGCACGAGAAATTATTTCGAATCTCTTTTATTAACTTGTAAAAAGATCATTAAAAGTTACATGTTGTTTCCTTTTCAATTAAAAAAGGCAACGGAAATGCATTATCGTACTATTTTTCTTTCTCTCTCGCTCTCACTTCGCATCTACTCTCCTAGAAATCAATCATTTGACAATTGGCAGTTAGTTTATTTCTCTGGAAACCGGTTTTAATGCGTGCGGTCGTGAATTTACAAAGTAAAAGAAAACGGGGTAATTTTGCAATTATTTGTTAAAATATTAATAAAATAACAAGTGTAAGTGTTAAATAAACATATGTGTAACAAAATATAATCAAATAATCCGTAAAATCATTGATAAATATCTTATTTTTTGCAAATTTACAAAAGCTTTTATTGTGGCGTCCCTAATTTCCGATTGCCGCAAATTTCGATGAGTATAAAAAAAGGCAAAAGAGCACAAATACAGTGCCATGTTATTCTCTGTGTTCTCTCTATGCAGAGGATATCAAATGTGTGTTTGATCAAAGTTTGTTGTTTTGTTAGTGTATTTGATGTGCAAATAATAAAAAAGCGGGAAGCGGGTCGTTTAATGCGAGAAATATAATTTGTTATTGTTATTCTTGTTATAGTTATTATTACATGTTATTCTCTCTATGCTCTATGCAGAGGATAACTAATGAGAAAAGTGTTTTTGATCAAAGTTTGGTGTTTTGTTAGTGTGTTTGATGTGAAAAGAATAAGAAAGGCGGTAAGAAGGCCGATTAATACGTGAAATATAATATGTTATTGCTTTTTTTTTGTTATATTTATTATATTTTGGGTATATGTAAAATTAAATGTAGTTTAAAAAAGAAATAAAAATGTATGAAAGCAAATGCAAAATAGTAAGTAAAGTGTTTATAAAGTGAAGAGAGTGTTGGAGATAGTACGAAACACAATGGACACATTTTCTTGGATTAATTTTAATTAAGGTAAGAACATATACTTATGAAGAAGTATTGTTAGATTTATTAAGATTATTTCTATTTTTTTTTCTTTTACATTTATAAAACTCATTTTGTGTATGTGTGATATTATGCTTGTATGTTCCTTATAGACTCGAAAGGGGCTGAATCGATTTTACTAAATTTTTAACAGAACATTCAGAAATTTACGGTAGTGAAAATAGGCTATTAATAATTTGACATATTGTCATCGATGAACAATGTCCTATGGGAATTTTATTAAAAAAGCCACCATATTTTTTTCTCACTTTATTTAGCTCAAAAATTAAGTAGTTAGTAAGTTGTACATAAATGTGGAAAAAATTCACAATAATTTTGCCCATTAACTGAGGACAAGAACTTTTTAAAACTAAAACAACGGGTCAGCGACGTACTATGTCGCAATGGTGGAAGTATTTCGGTACAAGTACATGTTGTTAGCTAAGAAGGTCGAGGACCAAATATTGGAAATGTAGGTCCAAGTTTCTTCCGATATTTGGTATGTTGACGATTCAAGCCAAATTTTCTAATGGATTCTTTTCAAATTCGGTATTTAGAGATCATGAAAGGTTTTATACGTAGATTTTATTATAGTTTTTTATGGTCCTTATATACAATTACCTCATGGTATTCATCATCTTAATGATTTTAGCCACATTTTCAACTTTTCGATGGAACTTGGAAAGAATAAATATTTCTAAGAAGGTCGAGGACCAAATATTGGAAATGTAGGTCCAAGTTTCTTCCGATATTTGGTATGTTGACGATTCAAGCCAAATTTTCTAATGGATTCTTTTCAAATTTGGTATTTAGAGATCATGAAAGGTTTTATACGTAGATTTTCTTATAGTTTTTTATGGTCCTCATATAAAAGTACCTCATGGTATTCTTCATCTTAATGATTTTAGCCACATTTTCAACATTTCGATGGAACGAATAAATATTTCTGTTGAATTCCGTCTATAATTTTAAAAAATCGAAATATCAAGTGTTACAGTCACATATATATTCAAGAAAACATTGGCAGATACCAGGACAGATACCAAGTTTGAGAAAATTCTGTTGAAAAATGTAGCTAAAATAATCAAAATACTGTCATAGAAAGCAGTAACCACTGTGCAATCCAAATTCCGAATTTTAAATAATTCAAGTGAAAAGTGTGGCTAGAATTGTAAAAATATTGAATATAAAGAGGTACAGTGATATAGGGGCTATACTAAGATGGGAACCTTTATAGGCAATTTTCTGTCATAGGAGGTAGTACTAGTTACAGACTCCAAATAGCAAAATTTAAGCCATTTTCGTGAAAACTGTGACACAAATCATCAAAATACCGAATATCTGGAGATACTGTTTTGTGGGGTCTATACCAAAACTTTAGTCTTTATGTGCAGTTCTATGTTCTATATAACTTTCATACCATTTTAGAGGGTATAAAATTAATCTGGGAACTGAAAATCCTCTTGGACTTTCCGAACAATATTTTTTATACCCTCCACCATACGGTGAAAGTTATATTAAATTTTTCCCTCGATTTGTAACTCCTCGAAATACTCATTTTATACCCAACAAAGTATGTAAATTCTTGATCAGCGTAAAATTCTAAATCGATTTACA